AAGATCACTGTTAAAATTACTATAACAGTAATCTTCACTCAAACAGTTACAGCGAATGGAGCTGTGGTAGGTTTATTTGTATATTTAAACAATAAAAGAATGAGTCACCAAATTCTAATTATTACAACTATGATTTATATTTTAGTGAACACAAATGAAAATGCTAGAAATGTGCTTCTTTATGATTATCAAAATTGCCCTAAAATTAATGTCTTAGAATAACAGGCATTAGTATACATGTATGCTAAACAATTGAATAGGGCTTTTCACACATTCTGATTGGTTAACTCGGAAATCACAATCAAGTAGAGATTTTGAAATTTTTGACTATTTGTAATTTTTTTTGTCAGAAATAAACTGCTTTATTGGTCGCTTTTCAGCTCGGTACCACTATTCACCTCCACTTTGGTGAATAATAATTGATAAATATCTGTCATGATAGGTCTCCAATGTGCCGAGAGAGTTAGATAATAATCAACCATGCCTTCTCCACATGTAACAAACCTGAATGCCTTCCTGAAAACCAGCTGTGAAGCCACGAATGTATTCCTTAATGCAGGGAGTCAAATAAGCATCAGCAGAAGCTAGGGAAAGACAGCAATGTATATTTTTTAAAAAAAACTTTTGTACAATGCAGCTATTCCAACACTGTTTATACCCCATAACTTCTGCTTGCAACCTTTAATAAATCATATGTCTCTCATATAAAGTGATATGCTGATAACTTCTTCGAGTTAAATGACTGCTTACAAAGTACTCTGTCGCATGGATGATTCTTTTTTGTATGCAAGTCTCATGTTGCCTGAGAGGCTCTAAAATTTAGGGTTAATGTTCAGACCAGTTTCTTATGTACTGATCTCAGATTTAGACTAGTAAACCTAAAATGATCAACTTGTAAGAAAATAACTTGATTCAGGAATTTATTTGAGAGCAATCCATGTAAATCAATGATGCTATTTGTCAGAAATTCTGTGTTTGGGTCACACACAGAATGTGATGCCAAGGGACTGGGTAAAGACTAAAAAATGTCAAATCTTTAGGTCATCTTTGAAAGTCTGCAGAAAATATCTTTGGAAGTCTTGGCATCTCAAAGATTAAATTAAATGTACTGCACTGGAAAACATTGAAAGGTATCATTACACTGTTCAACACTATAAATGTTTTACCTGTGTATCCTCGAGGCACTATTCTGACCATGGGCATTATTGTGGATGACAGCGACACCTGATCAAAACCCATCTCTAAGGCTAATTCACCAACTTCTCTCTCATGCACATCATACCTGCATGTGTAGAGGAGAAACTTAGAAACTACCCTTTACTTGGTATGGTGGGAGGTGTGGTAGCCTTATGGTTATTGCGCTCATCTGTGAATCAAGCAGTCTGGGTTTGAGCCCTGGCCAGGGACATTGTGTTGTGTTCTTGGGGGAGTAGAAATACTCCTAGTCACTTCATGCTACAAAAACCGGGATATTAGCTCCTGCCTGATGAGCCACTTGACTCTTCTGCAGACTTTACCTTTTTTACCATACTTAGAATATTATGTCACTCATAGCCATTGCCTAATCACAACAAATTCTTAATTTGCAACTATGTTTGAAGCTAAATAAGATTCAAAGCTGCAAAGGCTGTATTTGCAGTGAGAGGCACTCTAGCTCCAATTCAAACTATTGGTGTAAAAGTGATTGGCTGCAGCCAGGTTAACATACACTTTTGAATTCTCTCAGGGTTGTTGTTGTGACTAGAACATCTTGGGTCTTAGAGAGTTTTGATCCAAGTGATGAGTTGTAAAGACTCATTTTACTATGTTTCATTTGCCTCTGAAAAATAAACTCATTATGTCTCAGTTTTGGATTTTCAAAAGGGGTCTCAACTTCTTGGTGAATCTCAGATTTTACAATTCATCAACTCTGTGTTTGTTTTTCAGGCTTGCATGTACCTGCACTGACAATAGACATAGACATAGACAGCTTATTTTACTTAGACAACACACTTAGCTGTATAGGTAATGGTGTGTCCCATAGACTTAATAATTACGCAGAGTCTACAGGTCGCACCAGCTAGTTTACAGGTGCACCAAGAAAGTAAAATAACAAAGTAAAAATGTATGTACAATTGATTATAAATATTAAACTAAATTACCTAAGAATATAATACTACTACTATAATGATTGTAAAAATAATTCTACCTACTGTATTACATATATAAAAACCTACATGTAAGAGTGCATCAGTACAACAGCTAAACTCTTGATTCCTTTGTTGAGGACTCTCTGCAAAATATCCAGGATTATTAACAATAAAATCTTTATTTACCACATTCTTATTATTCGATCAATACAAGACATGATTTTGCCCTCTTGAAACTGGCACTTATAACAATTAAAATAAACTAGATTACCTGCAGATCTTTTCTAAGCTGATCTTTATCCAATGCTTCCCACTCTTCAAGCTGAAAATAAGGGATTATTAGGAAGCAAAAACATTGTCAGCAATTACACATCAATCATCAATTTGATTTCTGCCAAATTTAATCATATATAATAATGTTATATTACATTAAAATAACTTTTTGGAAAATTTATCAAATTTGACACACACACCTTTTCTCCAGTACTTCCAGTAACAATTTTACAATTTTCTGGTCTTTGAATCTCACTGTCACCTTGCACTAAAACCAGTCTTCCTTTGACGACTATAACATCGTCATGTAACACTTCTGGACAAATTACTTTCTGTAAAGGGATAATCAAACTTTCCAGTCATTTTGTTTCAAATACTTCTCACTGCGATCACTTCTCTGCATGTTTTGCTCCAGCCCCCTAGGGCTAAATTGGGCTGGGCTTACTGCCATGCAGCAACTTGGAAACTTCTGTTGCATCAATTCTATAGGCAATGTCTCAGAACTTTGTTTCATCCTGATTATATGTGCTTCTCTTCTCTTCTCCCTCCCACAGTCCCCTCCCTTACTTTCCCCACCCCCTGTCCCTGGGAATTTGAGGATGTCAGGAACATATTTATTCAAGGATGCTGAGAAGGAAAGCTAACTTTAAATTTTCTCTTGGGGCCAGTCATTATTGCACTCCTTGGCTGGGTAAATGTGAGACAGCTAGATGAACAATTTCTAAGATTTCCTCCAAACAATCAATGAAAATGTAGACTGATACTGTCCAAATTGAAGAAACCAGTGGCATCAGAGACAAGGTGCAGGATAGTGCTGAATTCATAAAGATTTTTAGATCATTAGGATATTTTCTAACTTGTTCTAATGAAAGCATCACTTACCAAATCAAATATATTGGGTCTTGTCTGGTTACCAATGTGCAACAGATCATGGAATCCTTCAGTAATAACAAGAGCCATTCGTTTTCCTTTCCGTTCCAACAGAGCATTAGTAGCTACTGTAGTTCCCATCCTGATCCATTCAATATAGTTTGGATCAATTGGTTGGTCTGCTGGCATCTTTATTCCTGTTGTCTGTAAAGCAAGCAATTTAATTACTCTTGTCTTATTAAATCTACACAATTTCCCACAGGTTTTACACCCTACACTGTAAAGTTACAAAAGACCCTAGTTACAGTACATATAAACTAAATAACTTTGTTTAGAGAGGAAGCCACATCAGCCTTAGCTTGCTTCCATACCTGCAGGTCCTCTATCCAGGTGGAATTTGGAATTTGGAAAGTTTGGTTTTCAGGAGGGAGGAAAACCCATGGAGCAAGGTGAGAATGGCAACAACAAACCCAACCTACAGATGACACCAGAGCAGAATTGACCCTGGGCCACACTGGTGGGAGGCAAGTGCTCTCACCACTACACCATCCCTGCTAGTTATAAATCCTGCTAAAGTAGCTACGATGAAATTAGTAAATTCAAAAGACCACCACCACCTATAAGGCACAAAAATATAATAATATCAAAGCAACGGATGTTTAAAGCCTTGATAACGTAACCATTGAATTGAACGTGCAGTTCCAGAAAGTATCATCCATACCCACACCACCACCATGGAAGGTCATTGGAACCTTGGAAGGGAGGGGAGGTGTCAAATGCCGACATTCTGGGGAGAAAGTATAAAGCTTGAACTGGAATTCCAGTGAGGTGGGGGAGTTCAACTCAAAAAACCTTGTGTGGGAGGTAAGGAGATAATATTGCATTACCACATGACCGACTCAATCAAAACACAATGTGCACAAACACATCATGATAAATATTTCTATATTCCACGTTTCATTTTTTCATCATTTCATTACGGAGGAGAGAGACAAGTATCCAGATCATGTCTACTAAAGGCATCCACAGTCGAGTGTTGATCGATACCCTTAATCAATACTCCAGATTGACACTCAATCGACCCTCAATCAACAATCAATTGATATTTGATGGACACTCCATTTGACACTTGATCAACACTCATTCAACCTCTCGGTTGACAGTCAGTTGAGAGTCGATTAATTTTCAGGCGATGCATATAAGTCGGTCAACACTTGGCCAAATATCGACTGACTATTGATCGAGTGTTGATCGAGTGTCAATCAAGATGTTGATCAAGTGTCCATTGAATGTCAGTCAAGATGCCGATCAAATGTCGATCAAGGGTATTGATCGAGGGTATCCATTGACACTCGAATGGGGATGCCTTTAGCACACATCATCCAAGTATCCTACAAGACTGGGTAGAGGTGTGTTTCTGGATCTCCTAAACACTTACCCTGTATCAGACCACAAGTATATTGATTGTATCAATAATACCTTCTGATAATCTATTTTATTGACTGGGCATACTGGGAACATCCCATCCAAGGGTAGTTACAATGTGTTGTTCCATCCAGGGCTTTTTGGTTTGAAACCCCCTTCTCCATCCCTCTGGAGATTCCAGGTTTGGTTCATATGTTCCATGAAAAATTTTGGCTTTTGAAATCCCCCACCTTGGAGTGGGTATGGATGTTTTCTGGAACCAAACAATATCCCTAGCCACTTCATTCTACAGAGCCTAGTTAAATACCACAGACCCAGTTGTTCAAAGGGTGGATAACACTATCCACTGGACAAATCACTATCCAGTGCATAACTACACCATCCACTAGACAGTGTGTTGTCTGCCCTTTGAACAACTAGAGCCAGACTGACAAGCTTTAACCTTTTCTTCCTCCTTCATGGCTCATTATTGTGTCTCAGTCTCTCTTATTAATGCAAGATTCAAAGCTGTTGTCCTGGATAATTAAATTTCAAATCGATTTCTGGTACCCTGGTCACGTGACAAACTTTCCAGTTTGGGCGGCTGAAATTATTATTTTTTCTACCGAAGCCCAATTTCTGATTAACAGCGCTTTACCTGCTCCAGAATTCTTCTTATTCCTTCCCTTGGAGCATCGGGATATGCAGGATCCACAGACAGCAGCTTCATCACCTTTACCTCTCCGTTTGGACATTCTGAGTAAACGTCTGTGAAAGTGCCGCCTCGATCGATGGCAAACCTGAACTTGTCACGGTTATTATTCTGCAATTCCTGCCTATCTGACATCTTTAAAATTCAGAGTTACTGCAAGAATATTGTCTCTAAATGAATACTTAATCAGTAAAGACAGCAGCTTTCACAAATTATCGCTAGAACATGGTTAGTGTTTAGCAAAAAACACAACACATTGTTTGTTGCTTGCGTTCTTTTATACGTTTGGAGCAAGTCGCGTGACCTTACGTCAAACCCCCTACTCTCTCTACGTCATAGCGCGTGGCAAACACGAGATCACGCAACAATCAAACGACTTTTTCCCGGGAAAAGGTGTTCCACTTTGAAATTTATACCCCTCTTTCCAACGCGAATAAAAAAAAACTGCATCAAGGCACATGGACCACATGGCTTTAACATCAAGACAGAAAAAAAGATGGTTGAATTATAAGAAGGTGAAATTCGAGGTAAATATTCCCGACAAACAACTCGAAGTAAAAACAAACTCGTGATTTTAAACAATAGGTATTATTTTCATCGTACGATCAAGGTCTCGTGCAATTCAGATTTAAAAATAACACAGGTAACTTGACGCGTTTAATTTTTTT